AATTAAAAAATCGAAACATTATAATCATTAACTTCCATAAAAAAAAAATCTGCGATACCACCAATAATTTCTAAAATTATTATTTTGATTTAAAAGTGATTTTAAAAAAGGAAACTGATAAGACAAACAAAATAATTAATTGACTCTTAAATGAATCAATAAAATTATATAGCTTACTAACATCAAGTATGAATTTTATGGATTAAAGAATCGAAACATTATAATCATTAACTTCCATAAAAAAAAATCTGCGATACCACCAATGATTCCTAAAATTATTATTTTGAATTAAAAGTGATTTTAAAAAAGGAAACTTGATGAGACAAACAAAATAATTAATTGACTCTTGAATGAATCAATAAAATTATATAGCTTACTAACATCAAATATGAATTTTATGGATTAAAGAATCGAAACATTATAATCATTAACTTCCATAAAAAAAAATCTGCGATACCACCAATGATTCCTAAAATTATTATTTTGAATTAAAAGTGATTTTAAAAAAGGAAACTTGATGAGACAAACAAAATAATTAATTGACTCTTAAATGAATCAATAAAATTATATAGCTTACCAACACCAAGTACTAATTTTATGAATTAAAAAATCGAAACATTATAATCATTAACTTCCATAAAAAAAAATCTGCGATACTACCAATAATTTCTAAAATTATTATTTTGAATTAAAAGTGATTTTAAAGAGGGAAACTTAAATTTTTGTAATTCCTCCATGGAATCTCTTCCACTATAAGATGTATATACAATCCTGACACAACAAATTGCAATCTGGCGTAACGTATACTTTGCCAACTTCCATATTTCGAGGATCAGCGATCAGAAGATTGACAGGCTACATTATTCTCAACGAAATGAAAACTCCGTGTTCGTGCACGACTATAAAATATGGAATATTCTCTTACCAGAATCCTGTTGCTGAGCGTATCCAGCTATATCTATTGGTTGGCCGTTTATGACAAGATCCCTCATGCAACCGACGTAACCCTGTCTCAAGGCACCTGTCCATAGTACTGGAGGGACTGTTAGGGGTGCAAATGGAGCGCCCACACCGCCGATATACAGCAATCCATCGAGATCTAATTGCGTGGAATCACCTGAAACACGAAACGTTACGCTGTTATTCGTTTAATTTATCAGCGAGGAAATTTTAATTATAAATGGCGTACATTTATTTTATAATTTGTTACACGAGCATATTTGAACGTAAATCTTTCACGATGAAATATTCCCTGTAAAAAGTAATTTATAAATATGTAGCTACTCCTAAGCAACGAAACGATAAAGTTACTGCAGCGGATTATAAATAATATCAACCTGGCAATATTTATCCTGGCCGAGGAGAATCAATTTTTCTTCCAAACGCAATTTTGTTCAACTTTCTACAACTTCTCAATCTTTCGTGTTCCTCTTTCGAAAATAGTTCGAGTCTTTCGAAAAAGATTTCTTCACACTTTTGCACTCTGACTACTCTCACACGTGCTACACTGTCGGAGTACACGTGACACTGTCAAACCACAAAAACTGAATTAAAGAAATTACGTTGCCTATTTACATTGCAAATAGGTCCAGTCTCATACAACCGGTAATTAGCATAAACAGAATATTTCTCCTCAAGTTACGTAATATTGCGTCAAATATAAATAAATAATTGTAAAGAAATTTGCTTCTTTTACTGTTTGTTACGGGAAAACAAAGCTGGAAATTGTCGAGGGTGCACGTGTGCGTTAATTAACCGTTTCTTCCCTTCGCTGCTCGTTTTTCCAATTTCTAATCGGACATCGTGAGCGATATAAACGGAAAGTATCGGTGACAAATGTAAAACGGTGCGTGATGAATCGACGCGTTCGCGTAGTGCGTAATTCATACGCGTTCGTTCTTTCACGATCGGTGTTCGACCCGTGACGCGTGAAATTCGTTACCAATATATCCTTCGAAAGTTTGCGTGATGTATGTGACAGTGTGTCATCGTTTGTACGGATTTTTATTTCATTTTTTTTTTCTCTCTCAAGGCAAATATTTTTACAACGCACGTTGTTGTAGTGCGAAGTAACAGCGCTCGTAACAATTATAAATAGTTTAGTCGACGTGATATAAAATCCAATGTTACAACAATCGAACAGAAGCTTGAAAATATATCTCGTTTTCAATATCATGACAATTCTCAATGTAACACATAAATGCTGATATACATAATATTTAATTATATTTCATTGCATATAAATATTAATTCGGCCGAATAAGATATTCGATTAAATTTTTATCCGGACAATTTCTTATCCTACGGGATATTTGTTCGTTACTGAGGAATAAAATTTCATTCTTAATTTTTATTCGTTGCCTGCTGTTAAAATAGAAGTTCGCCTAACGCCGATCATATCAAGAAAATCGTAGACTCACTTTGTAAAGTGGCCACCGATATTCTAAAACGATTAAAAGAAAGGATTAAAAAGAAGAAGACATTACGACCAATTGCCCTTTTTACTATTCGAATCTCAGGTGGCTGCTATAAAGTGGAGAACTTCGTAGCACTTTCCACTTAGGTCTCAGTCGAAAATTTCGCCTTAATCCAGACCATGCTGCTCTACTTTATCACACATAATCTCCCTTACGAAACATCTCTACGTTCTAGTAATTATCCTCGTTATCTGCCATTTACGATCCTCTCATTACGCACTCAAGCAGCGAAAACGCGCCATCTCCCAGACGAGGTTGTTGGAAAGGGCTCGAACTATGCCTAATTGTTCTACCTGACGCTCACGAGCCCCGCGTTCAATCCTGCGTTAATTAAACGCCGATGAAATTATTTCACTTGCGATACTTTTATTTCATTGAGGAAAAATTTATCTTTCTTTTGTTTCGTATGTTTTATTGTTAGTTGAAAGCTACGCATCTTCGAAGCTACGATTCTTGGAAGGCTTAGTGGCCAGCAACCGAGGAGCAGTGGTCGTCATTTGTGGAAACGGCTTGAGAATATTTATACAGGTTCATTAAAAACTCACGAGCTGCGCTTAAGTTCCATTATCCTCTGGTCGGTTATTTTTCTTTCCTTACTGCACCGTTCGAAACTAGGAGTTCCCTGTCTCGTGAAAAAGAAGAAGAAGAAGAAAAAAAAAAGAAAACTGGAGGAAGAAAGTTCACTGACTCTCGAACCAGCAGTGAGACTATGAAAATAATATGGTTATGGAGTAATTGGATTTTCTTGGTAAACATAGGTAGATGTGAATTTTGTTGCCTTGTAAATTATATTTGGGAAGGGATTTTTATTTTCAATTTGCATTTGGATATTAATCTGTATTTTGTATTTGATTAATTTTGGTTACGTATTTGATGAACTTGTTTGTATTATAAAACCAGATTAAGAAGAGCTTTTCATATTATTGATGATAATTAGCATTGAAATAATTTGTTGAATGAAGTGATTTACATACATAGAACATGAATAGCAACAGATGAGGAACTATACATGTAAAAACAAGAAAAAGCATTTGGATATTAATCTGTATTTTGTATTATAAATACCAGATTAAGAAGAGCTTTTCATATTATTGATGATAATTAGCGTTGAAATAATTTGTTGAATGAAGTGTTTTACATACATAGAACATGAATAGCAACAGATGAGAAACTATACATGTAAAAACAAGAAAAGCATTTGGATATTAATCTGTACTTTGTATTTGATTAATTTGTTTATATCTTAAAATCGGATTAAGAAGAGCTTTTCATATTATTGATAATAATTGACATTGAAATAATTTGTTGAATAAAGTGATTTACATACATAGAACATGAATAGCAACAGATGAGGAACTATACATGTAAAAACAAGAAAAAGCATTTGGATATTAATCTGTACTTTGTATTTGATTAATTTGTTTATATTTTAAAATTGGATTAAGAAGAGCTTTTCATATTATTGATAATAATTGACATTGAAATAATTTGTTGAATAAAGTGATTTACATACATAGAACATGAATAGCAACAGATGAAAAACTATACATGTAAAAACAAGAAAAGCATTTGGATAATAATCTGTACTTTGTATTTGATTAATTTGTTTATATTTTAAAATCGGATTAAGAAGAGCTTTTCATATTATTGATAATAATTGACATTGAAATAATTTGTTGAATGAAGTGATTTACATACATAGAACATGAATAGCAACAGATGAGGAACTATACATGTAAAAACAGGAAAAAGATTTCCTTATTCATGGGATGCGTTAAATTTTGCAACTAATTGATATTGTGTTTTAAAATATTAGAGTTCTTGAAATCACTGTCAATTTTCAATTATTTGTTTCATTTTACAAGAGTTTCGTATTCAGATCTGTCCACAAAGTATGCTCGATTGTTGTTTTTCTGTAGCGATACGTAGATACATTTTGGAATTAATTTAGGTCTCAAGTATGAACGTTTTTAGTGGCTGAATAGTAGAATATATCGCAGAGAACCTGCTTTAAAATTTTTATTATTTTGTACATGTTCATAAACTTTGCTGAATTGAGGCGGTGCTACAGGAAAATATCGTTGAAATTAACATTTATACGAGTTAAGCCCCCTTCAAGGTAATAATTAGAACATTAAAAAGCTGCTTGGGGAACGCTTTAATTATTGTACTCTTGATTCATGAATATCTCAAAAATATTTCATTGCAACTTTGCTTTCACAATAACAGTAATTATACATTTGCATATTAAACATGCAAACGTTTCTATCTTTGGCCTTGAATTTTTATATCTGCAAAATAAATTCCTCTACGTCCTGAGTCTAAGTTTCTTGCCAACATTTTATGTCTTCGCAATCTATGATCAACGCCAGTTTACTAATCGCGCACTTTAACTTTATGCAAATTACCTTCCTCGCGTTACATATGCATACGGCTAAATTTAGTAATTTTTTAATAAAATAATATTAAACACTCTATCGCTCCACGTAACTTGGCTCCTAGTCTTAAAACCAAAACCTTCTTGTTACGTCGCCTTTCTTCCGGACGAAATTCCAATGTTTCTTAAATTTGCAAGAAGCTTCGATATCTTTGGCTGGGTTAATCGAGTCCGATAAACGTGGCATCTGCAACAACTCGTGCGCTTAAACTCTGTACAAAAGGACGATCGAAATAGTACACGTTACACGACATGGAATTCGGAAGAGAAATGTGGAGAGAACGTTACACGGACGAATCTTATTTTCTTGGGCAGACGATAAGATGGAGAGAAAAATGAATATGAGAGGAGAGAAATACCGAAAGACGCGGAAGCACGGAAGAGAGGAAATTGCAGTCGACCAAGCAGGATGAGTGCTCCCTCGTTGAAAATTGTTACCGCCGACAAGCGTGTAAGAGCTCGGCGATGAATCGAGCTGACTGAAGCGAAGAATTTCGACCGGTGATCATAATTTGCCAGATCAAATTTATACCGTGCTATTTTATTCTACGCGGTAGATCACCGGTGGCCGATTGCTGAATTACGTCAACCGCGTGTCTGCTGCGGATATGTACAGTGCGGCGAATAACTATACACTCGGCAATATTTTCACATTATCGATCGTCCACATGAATTTCCTCGAAAACAAAAGGCGGTTTGAAAAGGTCCACGGCCAACGATCCACTTTAGATTATTTTATGGAGAATTTTACGAGACTGCCTGATGAAAATGCGATTACAAATATTACGCAAACGCTGGTCCACCGTCTTCGTACGAGATAAAAATTAGAAAAACAAAAGATACATATAACAGCGTGGTACTTGTTGAACAGGGAAAATTCGGAAAGACGAGCTGAGATGACTTACTCGTTCAATTATTGCAACCTGGCCACGCATTATAATATTGCAAATCTGTGTGAATAAGCGTCACGTAGAGAGACGTGGTGCACATGTGAGTTTCTCACATGATCAGCAAATGTCCAATCCAATGTTCCTTTTCTGCCACTTGCGTTAATATCTAAGGACACCGGGTGCAACCACGTCTGACGCGACGATCGTGTAAAAATAAAAATAACAGATACAAAGACAAGCGAAAATTAAAGTGCAAACTAAAAACGAAAATCGCGAGACGAACGTGGACGCGCAGAGTGAACGACGTTCGGGA